CTAATTGAGTTCCTCTATCCGATATAATATCTTTTGGCAATCTATAATAGCAATAGATATTGTCAATAAAAAGCTTAATTGTTTCTTCACCTAAAATAGAGTTTGTATATAATATAATTGTGCTATTTTGGTGAAAGAATCTATGATTATGAATATATTATCATATGAACTTGAGATTCAAAGATTCATGATAAAATCCATAGAAACAAAAGACCATGGTTTTTTTGAAATAGGTAACAATTGAAGTAGTCCATAAGGTCGATGGCGAGGAGTTTTGGATCTTGAACAAGTATTGCATGATTATACAAAGTCTTTGACTGCATTCCATATTTGAAGCCACCAAAAATCTCTTTATATTAGCTCCAAAGTCTAATTGTATCCAAAATGTCTGGCTATTGTAAAATCATAATGAGCTTGAAGAACATATAATCGTACCTTGCTTTTTAGAATATATAGGCGATCTTTGAAATATAGTAGGTTGTTCTTAAATTCAAAATTTGAAGTGTCATAGGACTTAGAGAAAATATTCTTGATATCATGAACAAAAAGATCAAAGGACATATTTGATTAAATTTGCTTGACAAAGGTTGAATTAATACTCAATGTTAATTTTATTCTTTAAAGATAAAAATGCTCGAGCTTTAAGATGATCGTTCTTTGTTGATCAAAAGATGCATCTCCTTCTTTTGGTGAAAGATAAGAACGCCCAAAAATGGCGTCTGATAGACCTTGTTGTTTTTGAGGTCGATAAGTGATCTTGAAATTGAATCTGGATAAAGACATGTTTCAATAGGCTTGATGAAAATTCAAAATATGTGTTGATATGAAGTACTCAAGGCTCTTATGATTTATATAAATGGTGAGTAGACTTAAAGCGCCTTGTAGATAATGATGCCATTCTTGAAATGAATCCACAATTACAAAGAACTCTTTGTCATGGATTTCATAATTAATTTCAATTGTTGAGAATTTCTTGAAATGAAAAGCTATTAAGTGGAGTATGTCATCTGTTCCCATTTGTAACAACACAGAACCCATAGCAAAATCTAACGTATCTATTTCGACAAAAAATACCTTGAAGAAGTTGACGCAATGCAACATTGGTGCAGAAGTAAATTCTTTTTTTAAAGCTAGTTGTAAATCAAGGTTGAAATCAAATTCCAATGCACTAAATTGCATATCTACATAATTTAGGGATTAAAGAGTAAGATTAGAGAGAAGATTTTAGAGGATTTTTTAAAGAGTTAGTTTCAAGTGATTTAGATTGATTTTGAATTTTTGAGATTTTTCAAAATTTGAGATGTTTTTAGTGATTTTGATTTTTGAGGAATAATAGGAAGTTTATATGTTTGAGAAATTTGTGAGTATTGTAGCATATGGATGGATGAAATTTTGAGAGATTGCAAAATTGCTTATCTAAAATGTATCATCAAAAATTACAATCAATTAAATGATTAGGTCAAAGTTTATTGGTATTTGATTGGCTTAGGATTCTAAATATTTGGTTTTTAGGATCATTGAGAGTTTTTGTAAGCTTAAGCAATCTACTAATCAGATTAAGGAAATTTTTGTGTACAAGTATTAAAATCAATTTTTAATAGTTTTGCCAATTTTAAAAGGAAGTAAATGGTTCAATAAAGAATTTTTGCTATTAGGAGATCAACATTAAAGTTGGCAGAAGAAGACCATTGAAATTCAAGCAAATTAGGAATATTTTTCCTTAATTAAATTTTATTAGGTTTTTTAGATTTTCTTTAGTTGCAATTTCTACTTTATCTTCCACATTTAGGTGCCTAGTGCATTTTCAAGCAAGACAATAATTCATGTGCCAACCTCACATAAAATCATCCAAGAGATTTTGTTTAAAGATAAAATATTTTAAATGCTTCAAAAATCTTTTTATGAAATTTTCTATAAGATTTTAAAATCTTATAGATAATTCTAAAAGATTAAAAATTTGTAAAAGAATGTGCTTAGAGCTACAATGAATTTATAACATTGAAATATTATTTCACAAAAAAAATTTCAAAGAAATTTAATAATTTATTTTTTATTTAATCTAAAAAATCAAAGATATTTTGACAAAGCTTCAATTTAAAAAAAAATGTAATTGATAAATGAAACAAGTGGAGAGGTTTATACAACCAAAAACTATAATTAAGTCTTGAAACTCCATAAGCATTGTTTGATTTAACTTTAAAAAGTTGAAGAAAAAAGATTAAAAGACTTCAATTTTCAAAAAATATATAAAATAATAAGTAAGCTATTTTTAACTTATTTTATTTTATTTACTATTTTTAATATTAAAATTTTAATAATATACCATTAAAATTATTGAAATTTTTAATAATAATAATAATAATTTATTTATTTATATTAATACATATTTAATAAAACTAAAAACTAATAATTTTGTTTTAATATGTTTGATAAGTTAGATGATGGTTTCTATGTTTTTCTTGTACAAATATATGATTTAATAATAAAAAAAACAATTGATATTAAAATACCTTAGACGTGCTCACATAACTTTATGACTAGAATGCAAGCAGCACAGAACAAAGTAAATTTGAATATCAATATCACTCTGCAATAATTTAAAATATAAAAATATACTTATGCCCATTATTAAAATTAATTAAACATCAGAAACCAAAAAGTAAGTACTGAAGTAGCTATACAACCAACCACATTTAAAAGTAAGTACAGCAAAAGAATTGAAATATGTAATAAAAGATATCAATGCATTCTGAATAACAAATATTACTCAAAGCAATATTAAACAGTGGTTGCAAAACAAATAGCCTATAAAATTATAGTTAAGATTGCATAACCCTTTGAAACAAAGTGTGCCATTAAAAACATCAAAAATGTTAAGTAATAATATATTACATAAGAAAGATAAACTTCTATTTACAAACACATATGTTACAAATTTATAGCACAAAAATAATACCAGTAGTTTTCATAATACAGGGCATACAATTAAACAAACATCATAATGTTTAATCATGATCATATCTAATTTTATTTACAAATTATATGGATTTTAAAATTGTTCTATTAACATGCTAAGATCATATTTCACACTTACTTTAATTTGCATGGGATAGTTATTGAATAAAATGTTTTGTGATTTTGCAACTTAAAGATGGTTGTTTAGGAAATAAAATTTTAAAGATAAGAAATAAAACTTTAATAACAAAGATATACTCATTGTAAAGAAAAACAGTACATCAAAATTTGTTTGTGCCATAAAAATTTAGTTATAAGACAGAGATGAAAACACCCTCGTATTGGTTGAGACAAAAAAGACTTTTTATGGCCAAGATATTTTATTGGCCAAAAATATATGTTGCCCTTTCACATATGCTGATTAATTTTGTATCAGAATGTTTTTTGTGCCTAGGTATATATATATATATATATGACATATTTTGTGTATTTAAAATTATATTATACACATGTCTAGGATATATTCTTAAAAATTAATAAATTTACATTATATATGTTGCTAAATTTGATTTACTGTTAATAGAACTAACTTACATACAAACAAACTTTTTATATGATTAAGAAAAATGTGATAATAAGTTTGTTTTTGTTAAATTATTGATACTATCAAAAAATCAAGCACACTGAAAAGTTTTATTTGTCTCATTATTTATATTTATTACATAATTTTTTTATTTATGTATTTACATTTTAGAATAAAAACTATAAAGTGTATTCACAATGGACAAAAAGAAGGTAAATGTGTGTATATATATATATATATATTGTAAACCATTCCTACAAGACGATGGTAAGAGATCCGAATCTACATTACATAATGGTCCGGAATATAATATTTTTATTCAAACATAATTTATTAGGCATGAGTGTATCAAATCCATTATATTTAGAAGACTTTGTCGAAAGCTAATCAGTCAACCATCAATTTTTTATTGCACCATGAATATCAGAATAATGGATTGCCAGATGGCAAGCTCTGAACAGCTTTTTGTCGAGGGTTTGCCCAGATACGCCATCAAAACATACCCAATTGCACCTTTAGGGGTTGGAATCCATGCCATGTGGTGTGATTGGTTCTTTTGGGAGAGGCCAATCTTTCAATAAAAGTACAATCTTAAAGTTTCTTTTACTTTTTATGTATGTTTTATTCCAGAACAACATTCCTATTTTTGCATTTACTTAACGTACCACAGATGAACATACATTAACAAGATAAACAACTACATATAATATATATGTATATATATATATATATATATATATATATGTGTGTGTGTGTGTGTGTGTACAAGAACAAAAACTTACATTCAATTATCATGTATGTAGATGAATTACTTCTTGGTAGAACTCATCCAACATGAAATTATAAACTTGGTATTTATTATGATTAGTAATGGGACAAATTGACTTCCAGAAGCTCATCAAAAAGGCAACGAATAGAACAATGGGAAATAATTCATAATTCACAACTTATAATTGATAAAGTATGTGTCGGAATCACTGAAGAGAAAAGGAACCATTGGCTTTATTGGCAAACGGGAATTTATACGAGGAAATGAGGTTATACGGTTTCACTGCATGCAAAAAATACTTTGCCACGTCGATGGGATCTAGGGCAGGGCACGGCCACGAGTCGGAATCTGCCGCGGACAAGAAACCGGGACCCACCACCGTAAGATGGAAACAAAATTGAGGGGGGGGGGGAGGTGCGCGTCTTGAAATGCCGGGGCGGAGGCGGGGAACCGAGATCCCCTCACTCGCCATTCCTCCCGGTGGCCCCTATTGGATCTTCCCAGGTTTGACGAATTTAGCGCCCAGATGCGGTCGTTGAAACGCCGGGTGGCCACAAGGGTCGACAAGGACGTGGCCGGGCCGGGTTCGGTGGCAACGTGAATGCTCCAGCCATCGCCCGCGCCCGTTGATCCCCCATTGCCACCAAACCTGGCTTCACTGCTCTTAAAGGCGCCAGGAGTCTCTGGCTTCGCATTGTGGTTGTGATGCTTCGGAGCGATCTGTGTGTTGTGATCGGTGCCTCTCTCTTTCGTGTTCTCCTTATCGCGCGCTTCGTCTCGATCTGCCTGGAAGCCAATGCACCAAAGGGGCAAGTCCATCAACCGACGCTCCCGGACTTTTTCTCGCACCCGCATCGCCATCGAAGGCCATTGATCCTGGCTCCGGGAGTGTTCGGAAAATTCTGATCTGCGGTGGTTGGGAGTTTGGGACGCTGGCTCTGGTTGCCTTGCCGTGACAAGGAGGCGCTCGCAAGAAGAAGAAGAAGAAGAAGAAGAAGTCTTGAGTTGCGCGCTTTTCGTGACTGTTCCACCACTGAGATTGTTCTTGTCTCTGTCGCAATCATGGCGGTCAATAGTAAGTCCTCGGCCTTGCCACTCGACTTTCCCGTGATAGTTGAGTCTTCTTTGCTTGGTTGCGGATCTCTGGATTATTGAAGTAGCTTTGGCTGTCTTAATTGAGGGACTCGGCCCGGCTGATTTGTGATTTTCGTTTGTTCTTGGTATGTGCCACGAAGTGGTTCTTTGTGTTGAGAGGAGATGGAGCTGCGTGAATGATGCTGAAATTGTTGTTTCGGGCCACAGTCTTAGCATTTAATCTCGCATGTGCTATTTGAGACAATGGGCATGAGTTACAGTACCTACTTGACATTGAGTTGTTGTCGTTCTTGTCGCGTGGAAATAATGGTAGTGTTGTACGTTTCGTTCCCGAAAGTTCGCTTCCAAGGGTCCATCAATTTGAAAAAATTGCTAGGGTCAGTTCTTGGAAATGACTATCACTTCTAATGGTTTCACTATCTCTGTTATGTACAATGTTAGATCTGGATTAAATATCTCATTTCGATGGCTTTCCATGCAGCCGAGCGTTCTCTTCAATCAACTTACTGGAAGGAGCATTCTGTGGAGCCTAGCGTTGAGGCAATGATGCTTGATTCGCAGGCCTCCAAACTCGATAAAGAAGAACGACCCGAGGTACTTGCGGGTCATCATCATCTATCTCAGACCTTGGCTGAAGCTTCTGTTTTCATTCTAAACTCAGACTGTGTGCAATCCTGTGGATGAGGTAGAGCTGGAGAGGGACTTGCACTTTGATTTTGAATCTTTTTGTGCTATTGTCGTTGCTTTCGCAAGCCCGCAATTGTTACTGCACTGATTGGTCTGATCCTCGCAGATTTTGTCGCTGTTGCCGCCATATGAAAACAAGGATGTCATGGAGCTCGGAGCAGGCATTGGTCGGTTTACTGGTGAGCTTGCAAAGCATGCAGGTCATGTGCTTGCCATGGATTTCATGGAGAATCTCATCAAGAAGGTAATGAAAACGCTTATGGACTCTAAAATTTTGTGCAGATCCTACGTTACGTTAGTATTATTACTTCTTGAAATTACTAGATCTGATAATTGTAGTTTTTTCACGATTAAAGGAGACTGATGAGTTGATAATCCTCATGCAGAACGAGGATGTGAACGGTCACTACAACAACATCGATTTCAAATGTGCGGATGTGACCTCTCCAGACCTGAATATTGCAGCAGGTTCTGCGGATCTCGTGTTTTCAAATTGGCTTCTCATGTACTTGTCTGACGAAGAGGTTAAAGGCTTAGCATCACGCGTTATGGAGTGGCTCAGGCCTGGAGGATACATTTTCTTCAGAGAATCCTGCTTCCACCAGTCAGGAGATCACAAGCGAAAGAACAATCCTACTCACTACCGTCAACCCAACGAGTACACGAACGTAAGTTGGATTACCGTTCTCTACGAAGTTCGTCTGTCTCACTTAGGAATTATCTTTGTAATAGCTGCTTTTTCCAATCAAAAATTTGATTTTGTATATTGCATGTACTGCAGATCTTCCAGCAGGCCTACATCGAAGAGGATGGGTCCTATTTCAGGTTTGAAATGGTCGGATGCAAATGTGTCGGCACATACGTGCGAAATAAGAGAAATCAAAACCAGGTGTGTTGGTTATGGAGGAAAGTTCAGTCGGATGGACCTGAGAGCGAGTGTTTCCAGAAGTTTTTGGACACCCAACAGTACACGTCAACTGGAATCCTGCGTTACGAGCGTATTTTTGGAGAAGGATTTGTTAGCACGGGTGGAATCGGTGAGTATTGGAGTCTACATTTCTATTTTCTCTGGGATGTGCCAAGATGCTCTAATCTTAAATCCCTATTGACACTGTTAACTGATTACTGTTACGGATACTTCTGCTTCAGAAACCACGAAAGCTTTTGTAAGTATGCTGGACTTGAAGCCAGGACAGCGTGTCCTTGACGTTGGATGTGGGATCGGAGGTGGTGATTTCTACATGGCCGAAGAATATGATGCTGAAGTTGTTGGCATCGACCTGTCCTTAAATATGATTTCGTTTGCTCTTGAACGATCGATCGGCAGAAAATGTGCAGTCGAGTTTGAAGTTGGGGATTGCACCAAGATTAATTACCCTCACGCATCTTTTGATGTCATCTACAGTCGTGATACCATTCTACACATTCAAGTAAAGTTCTGCCCATTATTTGGTTTTGCTTGGCTGCAGATGTCCAGTGTTTGCCGTCGGTTTTGAGCCCTTTACCGTGGTCATTGTCAAATCCCCATAAAACTAACGTGATCGTGGATTACAGGATAAACCTGCGCTTTTTCAACGGTTTTATAAATGGTTGAAGCCTGGAGGTCGGGTGCTTATCAGTGACTACTGTAGAGCTCCACAAACTCCGTCGGCGGAGTTCGCTGCATACATTCAGCAGAGGGGTTATGATCTCCATAGCGTTCAGAAGTACGGAGAGGTAAGAATCGGCAGCTGAAGCTATTAGTACTGTGATTTTCCTGCAGTCTCAGCATATTTCAGATCTTCGAGACATTTTCTGACGAAATCATCCTTGTAACGCAGATGCTGGAAGATGCCGGTTTTGTGGAAGTGGTCGCAGAGGACCGCACGGATCAGGTATGCGATTGGAAATTTCACTAAAAACAGGCTGATACAAGAATAGAAATGTTGTAACTTATTCTAAATCTCTGAACTGTTGAATCGCAGTTCATTGAAGTGTTACAGAGGGAGCTAGCCACCACTGAAGCAGGTCGTGACCAGTTCATCAACGATTTCTCCGAGGTAATGACGCACTATTGATTTAGATATTGTCGTTTATTTCTGTTTTTGTAACTTGTATTATATGTTACAATAATAATCTTACAATGTCACGGTCGTGCGATATGCGCTTATGCAGGAGGATTATAACTACATTGTGAGCGGATGGAAGAGTAAGCTGAAGCGCTGTTCGAATGACGAACAGAAGTGGGGACTCTTCATAGCCTACAAGGCATTATGATCTTGAAATTATTTCGGATATAGATAAAACAGCATTGTTGGAATAGTTCACACTTGAGAGTCTGTTTTGTCTTCTTATAAATAAACATCGATACTATTCACCCACTTATATCGGTTATATGTACTCAATGGTCACACCTACACTCCCTTCAATTAATAGAACATTAACCTATGTACTTAAATACAGTGTGTGCACAGTACGCTATTTACATATATAACTCTTCACCATAATCACCTTTGTGCCACATTATCTTTAGATGGATTATACGCGATACGTATAATCAATCTAAAAATCTCTAATAATCACTAATTGCAAATGCAATAAAGACAAGATATTATATGATAAACTCCTTCGCTACAAATTGGCACATCCTTGTTACATTATGCAACATATTCTTCATTTATTCTTCTCCTTCACCACCTTTTCAACTTAACACGATCGTTACTACATTGCATACCTCTGCACTGAAGAAAATGCTAATAATTGATTGCTTCAATAATCATCCACTATTAGCTGTTCACGATGAAAACAAACCATTGTATCAAAATGCGCGTGACTTTTACTTATCTCGAACATGTATGGAACTATTCAGAAGCTTAATACACAAGTATCACGTGAACTTCTGGAATTTAATGTACCGAATTTTTGAGGAACACAAAACTTATAGAATAACTTTAAATTCAACTAGTTAACAAAAATCTGGTTGCCTGTAGGCTGCACACTACATATCATCCTCCTCTGAAAGACTATTGAACGCAAATGGCTTAAATTTATAACCATCGCCTTGGTAAAACTTATTCTGAAACTCCACCCAGTGAAGACGCAGAGCATGAAGGAAGGCACTGAGTGTTTCCATGAGCAGCAGTACACCAAAAGTTACAAATGTAAATACAATCAAACCAATAAGCCTGATAACTGGGTTTGAGTACCTGCAATATTCAAACAACGTTTTAATTCTCTGATATTCATAAAAGCACCAACTCAAGCGTTTCTAGATGTTCTGAATAAGCTTTTGCCCAGTAATAGCTTCATTTCATCATGATGCAGAGGATAAATTACGTTCCTTTTGTACTCAAGGAAACGACATAATACAATATATGGTTGAGGAGCTTACCCCCAGGCAAACATGAGGACTCGTTCATAGAACACCGCAGAAAGTTGTGCATGAGCAAGGCTGCAAGCACAAAGACCAAGAACAGATGAGTCGATAGATTATGTGAAATTCTTTGCTAGTGATCAGTTTAAAAGTCAGATGGAGAATTAAGGATTATGTCATTCATACTAACTTAAGCTGTAATCATGTGGTCCTCGTTTCTCAGTCCACTAATAAGCTGTGCTCAGTACCTGAGTGCCCAGAGTCGCAGATAGGACGCAGTGTTGGACACCGCACCCAACACAAACTCAATGGTGTGAATCATTTGGTGCACAAGTACTTCACTAAACTCAAATTCTTCTTCGTCATGATCACTATCTACCTCTGCCTCAGATGCAGAGGAATCGGACCGCCTCAAAGCTCCATAAGTTGCACCCCTCATTTTCTGTTAATTACACACAAAATATCATTAAGCATATTAATCTGACTAATGCAGTCTCTCATGACATGATTAATAGGGACAGACCAGATGACACGCTAACATGTTTCACTCTCCATGGATGCTCAAGTATTCCAAAAGTTGGTTATAAACTAAGCGCAGGATAATCATCTCCTGATCAACTGCTTTACGGCAAAACTTCAGACATAAACGTATACACGACTGCTACATTAGAGGGACCTTCTGTGAAAGAAAAATCGAGAGGTAGTAGGTTGCACCTGGATATGCTGGTTTCGCAAAATCAAGGGTTTCGGGAACAGCATCCAGGGGACAGCAACCAGGGCAATTAATAGCAGGATAATCTGCGACAAGAGCAATTACAGTCAGCAACGCATATGAAGAACTCATCTGTGGATATGACCTACAAATCTGGAAGTTTAAAATCATTATCAATCTGATCGATGAAGTTAGTTGACAAGTTGAGATCATAAGCTCAATAAAAAATTTCCACAAGTTCAACTTTCGTACCTGAACATAAGTTTGACCTGAGAAGAGCTGGTTCTCTCCAAGATCCTCAGTGGGACTGAGGAACATGTAAATCATGACATGGTAAAGATCGGGCTTGCTCCCTTGGCACCACTTCAGAACGATAAGGAATGAAAGATACCCAAAGAGCGCATTGAGGAACAACAGCTGTGGAATAAACTGATACCTGCGTACATTTCATTAAATAGAACTCATGTTAACAGCTAGGCATTAATATCTAGATGTGATGAATCGATAATGTTATTCTACGTTACCCTCACTGGTATTGTTTGGAGGCCCTTGAATCCAAAAAAAGAAACAAAGAAATGCTAGAAAAGTGGTTACATAAACTTACCAAACATCAAGAGCACTGCAAAAGTATTTGGCATTGAAGTAACTTAATAGAATGCCCAAGTTCATCTGAGAAATCCCTAACAGAATTGACATCTTCATCTTCAATGAGTTGGTGAAAGGAAGCTCTGAACGGGACCCATGCCAGATAGGATCCACCCCAAATGCGTACGGCTCGTATGACCATTTCTCCACTCCTGAAGTAGTAGCCGACCTAAAATCAAACAATACATAACAACTTGGTAAGTATAGGTTAACCATGAATGTATCTAAAAAGCACATTATGTTGGTAACAAGCATAAGAGAACTTTAAGAAGGGCGTACAAGTATTCGTGACGTGCACATGTATTAAGCTTGCTTCTCAAACTAACTCAACGGCTAAAAAGAAGTCAATATGAGGAAAGAAGCTTACGGGCAATTTTCAATAGAAAATTGTGGATCGGGACACCGATAGGCAGATCCCCCAAAAAAACCGAACGGAACTGAGAAGAACTCGTTATATATGAAACCAGTGTAAATAGAGAAAATAGCCATCAGAAGAATTACATAACGACCTCCATACGCCATCTCCATGATGTCGCCGAGTTTCTGCAACAGTATCATAAAATTTAATTTTTAGCATGTAAGTTTTAAGGAATCTTAAATTTCACTTATAGTTTGAACATGAACAGAAATATAAGCATCTACTGGCTGTAAAAGTCTCCACAAAACAAAAATATACCTGCTTTCCGAGATTCTTTTCATTCAGCACGAGATAAAGCGCTCCCAATAATAGACAAATACCATGACCCCAATCACCAAACATTACCGCAAACAGGAAGGGGAATGTTATGATAGTAAAACATCCAGGGTTTGCTTCCTGATATCGTCCTACACTGCACATGTAGAATTTCACCTTGTCAGTTGAGTGTGGAGAAAAAAATCATCCAATGCTACAATTCCTTACCAGCTAGATAGAGCCACCATAGATGAGGCAGCATTCACATGTCAGACTAACATTGGTGTGTGAACACTGACCCATAAGCTTCCACAATCTCTTGAAATGCATTGGTGAACTTGTTAGTTTCAAAGTAGCTGGGCGGAGACTCCTTCATACGAAAAACTCGAAAAATCGTATTAACTTGAGAATTACTGTCATATGCGGCTCTTTGGAGAGCATCTTGTATCTGCACCCATCAAACCAAAATTAATCCAACAGCCAAGACAAGCAAACACGAGCTCCGTTGAAGTGAATCATATATAGGTTGCAACATGGCACTCGTGGTAAAAAAATCAGTATACTTATACTAAAGAAAGATGATTTCACCTTGGGCTTCGCAGAGACAGGGCACCAGCCCTCAGCAACCAGGCACTTACGTGTAACATCAATGCTCAACATATTGAGCGTGTGATAGGCTGCCTTATCTCGTCTCACCTAAGAATAAAAAAATAAAATGACATTAAGTCGGGATAGGATAAGAGAATAACTGACGTAAAAGTAATCCACCGTAGATATGTGTTTTTTAAATTGAGTCTTCAGAACTGAAACCAAATATCCCAATGTATTCCAATACCTGATAATTACTACTGCAGCGCTATAAGCGAATTCAACCCTGTAGCTCACCGTAATGGTCCACCGTTCAAGGTTGAATCCGATGTTGTTAAAAATATTGTGTCTGTGGTGATTACCAGCATCAAGCGTGTTTTGTAGCTCACTCAACCTTGTTTCAACCTGTAAAAGTACAAATCTCAATCATCCAGAATTCATTTGAGCAATTACCAAGCACTGCAACAATATAAACACTAAATCAAATATTGAGCTCACATATGCCAGTAGAAAAACAACGGGACACAGTTTGCGTCACAACTGCGCCTGTACTCAGGTTTCAAGTAAGCCTTTGCATTCACAAAATGTAAAAAGCTCCAAGAGGTTGGAGTGATCGTAAAAGGAAAATCATATTTTGAGCTGTAGCACTACGACATTCAAATCACACTTTCCTAAAAAAGGGAAAATAGATGAACTGCAGGATTTGGTATTTCACGAGAAATCCTTAATTGAATTATCACAAAACACACATTCATAGCTTATAATTTAGTACCTCAGACTTCATCTGCCACTGCTTGTTTGGGTCCTCAGGGAAGGGATAGCGATTGGCCCCAAAAGCCTCACAGATTTTGACAACCTTGGATTTGGCACGCTCTCCAGAAAAGAACACAACAAAGACCGTTTTCTCTGTCTGTATTTGACCAGTTCCACAAGTCAGATGGAAAGAACATCATCTCTGATCTTTATATAAAAGCCTACTACTATAATTGACTTATTACAAAACACAATAGCGTGAAACACTAATAAGGATTTTGTTGGAATTTCTGATCACAGCAAACAATGATGCTTTTCACATTTCCAGCTCTAATTGACAATTACCAGCCAGCACTGACCTCCTCACCAGTGGCTGGATCTATAGTAGTGCCTTCGATTGGGGCTTGTTTCAGAAACATATTCCCTCGGGTAGCTCGGAAAAGAATGCGCTCAAAAGAAGCTGCTTTGGCCTTAGGAACCACACCTGAGATAAAGCCCAACCTGGCTGCTTTCGAAGGCTCAGTCTGCATCTCCTGTGAGAAGCACTCACTCTCCTTAGATAAAGATGCAACAAAAGATGATAAAATGAAAGGCCAACAGCATAAGGAAGGTTTATAATAGAAGACAATATATTTTAATACCCATACCAACACTACAATACATCCATGTAATAAACAAAGAGCACTGCACCTGTTCCTGTAGAAGTGGTCGATCAATAGATTCTTCTATTGAAGACTCATTCTCAGCATCTGCTCTTTGCTGTTGCACAGTACTTGCTGTATTCCTCGCGGAACTGAAGAAGGCACCAGCCTACCCACACAGAAAAAGGTGAACAGTTCAGCTTTCATGGATAAAACCATCTAAACGAAATGGCAAATGGGCCACATACAAATCCTAAACAAGATTTAAAAAATAATAAAAAAATAAAAAAAATAAAACTCTTGTATCTCCACACGACCCAAGGAATCGTATTCGATAAGACATAACAAAGGAAAAAATCCCGCCTAGTCTTCATCATCACACCCGACCAGTCAGTGCAGCACCAGCCAATAGAAAAGAGAAAATTCTAAGTTTTGGCGCTTATTTATGCTTTTCTAATGCGCAATTCTACTAGTTATTGAGTTCAGGTTTATTACCTTGTCAAGCACCAACTGAAACTCCACGAGTTCACTGTGAGCGCGTTGAAGTTTATCCGTGTTGGCATTTATCTCTAACAACTCAGCCTCAAGTTCCGTAAGTTTTATTTCTAATTCATCTAAATCAACACTTTTGTCTACCATGGGTCTCTGTGCAGGTGTTTGACCAGCTTTAGCAATTTGGTCGTGAAAATATCGTAGCTTTCTTGCCATCTCTCCACATCGCTTCACCTAATAACACACATCTTGAGGTTAAAAAACTAACATGCAAAAGGTATCAAGGGTGGGGAAATGCAGCCCAAAGGAAAGTGTACGAGGGAAAGGGAAATCAACGAATTCCTAACAAACATTTTCAGAGGTGTCGAGAATCCTCACCTGATTAGCATAAGTTCGCTGAAATGGGCTTTTGTCAGGATTCAACTGCCATCAGAAACACCAGACACGGGTGAGAAGAAATCAAGGTATACTCTCCCATAAAATAATAGAAGATGCACATTTGAAGTTTAAGATTAGAGCACCAGAGAGAAACCACTCGGATTTTCACTCATTGTCGTTCAAAGCACAATTTCGCACCAAGCTTCTCCAATTCCTTGCACATTATTTAAACTACTAATTACCTATTCACTCGAACTTGAATTAAGGTATCAAGGATCTAGAATACAATCGACTAAGAGCCATCAACATCACCAACAATATTTTTTACATAGAGATGTGGTGATAACAAACGGGAATGGCAACAACGGGACCACGAAAAGTAAAGTATCACCCCTAAGTTTAATTACTTCTAGCAAAGCATAAAATCCGGCTGCGTTCACTATTCGCTGCAGGTCATGCCAGAATTGTCATCCCTAACAAGCCATGCTCAGATTCCGGCTCCAACAACAGAGCGAAGGTGTCAAAAGTGAGGAACACAAAAAAAATTGTCACCATGTCTTGGACTTACGGTGTTGATGTGCAATTCAAAATCCTAGACCTAGAATCACATGAGTCGCCCATGCAACCTGACATCCTGCAGTAGCTAGTTGACATAATCAAGTTGTGAGACTTCCGAGAAAAAAATATATATTATTCTATTGATTGCAGAGCATACGCTAGGTTCACAACGATTCTAGACGCAAGTGACTATTGTTGCCGAAGTATCTGCATTTGGCTGTACAAACTACTTCCTCGTATCCAATCACCGTAATCACATAGATAGACAGCAGTAGCATCAGCAAGTTAAAAATTGACGCTCCCATTCATCTGACGCCCCACGTCATCTCTGAATACACGTCCGTAATTGTTCACCATTCGAATTACTATGCAAAATCATAGACCGAAGCGAAGTTGTATAAAAATCTAGACCGAGTGCACCAAGTGGACTTGCCGATGACCTACCCTGAAAAGCCATTTAACCGGCCGGCTGCTGCTGGAGGGCATAGACACACCCGAAGTGATTAGACACACCAAGGTTTAAGCATACTCACATCTTTAAACTGGAGCAATCCAAGCTCTCCCAAGTAGATGACAGTATCATGAGCCGATTCCGCCGGAATGATGAGCTGCACGAGGGACATCTCCTCCGATCGGAACAGATCCATGGCCACCATTTTCGTCGACCGCAGACCCGAACCCTCGTGACTGCAATCCAATTACCCTCAAAAAGAGAAAAAATCGCCTCAAAAACCTAATCTCCTGAATCCTGATGTAAGCTTGCGCAAGCTGGCGATCTCCAACAGCAGAAAATTATGAAATCAATCTGAACCAACTCCGTCCAGAGAAACTCACGAGTCCAACAACATTGCGGACAGAAATAAGAAAAAAAAGAAAAAGGATCAAATTCGAGGTTGGAAGACTTCAACCAAGAGGAAGGGAAGGAGCGAAATGCAAGCGGAGACGGGCCATGCAGACCCTAACGAGAGCGATTGAAGCAAAGCATGAGCTGGGCAAGCGCGAGTGGCAGAGCCCAAGCAAAACCACGGACAGCGTGCTTACAAAAACACTCCAAGGCCCAGCGAAGACGACGAGACGGGTCGGTCGGGCCGGGTCTGTGTCCCTACCCGGCGCACGCTGGCGCGGCCAACTATGCTCACGGAATGTTCCATTGCGTTCCCAATGAGGCGCACGACGTTCTCAATGACGGTGATTGATTGTCAATTTTTCCCTGGCCCATTCGTGAGCCGTTAGTTTCGGAACAATAAAAATGAATTCCATAATGTTTGATTAAAAAAAAAAAAAAAAAAAAAAATCCTTTTTTAAAAATTTAAGTTGTTGCTTCTTGTCTTGATTTTTTATTTTTTCTTGAATTTTACCACGGATTTTTTAAAAATATGATTTATTGAAACTGTAGCTTATTTCTTTAGATAAAAATATATGTGTGTTGTTATTGAAGTATAAACTAAATTAGGTATTATTGTCATTAGTATTATTTTTCTTGTTTTATATCTATAGATACCTGACAGGAAAGAAAATTCACTCAAGAAAATCATCTCTCTCTTGATATATATATATATATATATATATATATAATTTCCGTAGGTGGTCTTCTAGAAAAGAACATAAAGGTGGTTTACTACTGACTGTTTATTGACATCACAAACGGACAAAAGCTGTTAAAATATTGATAAAATAAAAATCAGTTAAAAATAGTGAAAGCATTGTAGAATCGATTAGTGTGTAATGGATGAGTAAACCATGCATTTATATTTACATAGGTATACATATAACCAATCTTGTAAATACAAAAACCATAGAACACCCAATTTTCAATGGTTTAGATATATGTCAATAATATTAATGTCACGTTATGTATTGAACTAACTTCATTATTTTATTAAATATATTTATACATGATAATAATAATAATAATAACAATAACAACAATAATAACAACAAATCAAGGCATGAATAAGTTTTTTGAAGATAGAATAGAAAAATAAACTAAGGAGATAAACAGGTCTTCATTTAAGCCAAAGAGTAATCTATTCAAGGGATGAAGCTTTCAATGTGTAGAATTTGATATCTTATGCACTTCGTCTAGAATTGCATGCACAAAAAGGAAGCACTTGTGGAGATGCTTGAGAAGAAAAAGACAAAAAGAAAAGCACACTAAGAGATGATTGTAATGCTGAAAGTGCTTCTAACGTAAAAGCCAATGCGGAAATACAAATTCAGATTGAAAACACCATTGTAAGCTAGGAACTGTGTATATATATAACAGAGATGAAGTAATTCCCATCAATGTAACTATTAAAATTTCAGGTAGAGGGATTTAGAAGACATTTTTGTATGAAATGTATGTAATTTGTTAATATTTTTTTATGCTTATTGCCACATGTTTTTATTAATGTATATATTTATATACATTAAAACAAATATAAAAGTTTGAATTTATTTTAAGTTAGAATATAAATTAAACCAATGTGTAAAAAAAAAAAAAAAATGAAATGATATGCATTGATCTATTTATATGTGAAGTTTAAACATTTAATTATGTGTCCATTTGTAGCAAATTGTTGTTAAATGCATCGATTCAAATTCATTCCTTTTGTTGTGTAAAATAATAAACAATTGTTATGTTACAATCCTTCTCAGGCACTACAAAGAACAGATTTTAAGTCATGTGTGTGAAGTATGCCATCTATATGAATAAAAAAAGAAAAAGAAAAAAGAAAAAAAGTTTGATGACAAATATTAAATGCCTCATTTTTATTTTATTTTAAAAAAATTTAAGGAAAATAAATAAATAAATAAATATATATATATATATATATATTCTCAAGTATAGTATCAAGTATTCTCAAATATACATGTTTATACATTCTTCGACCTTTTATAATAAATAATAAATGTATTTAAAAACAAGATAAAACAAATTTGTAAGCAATAAGAAATAAGAAATATTGTTTATCAAATATAAAATTTTAAAAATATATTTGTAAACAAAAAAAGGTGTAATATTGATTTAATTTTCTTCAAACTAAATTATTATTCTAGACATTTGTAGATATTTACATAAAAATTTGGATTCTAAATTAAAATTATTAGTACATAGACATTATATATTTTTAATTTATATCTAATTTTTTTTCATTCAAGAGTTACTAATCTAAATTTTGTGCAACACTCAATTACAAACCTCTACCTACTCCACTATTTAATTTTATTCATTTATTCCTTTATATTTTATATGATAATAAATAAATATATTTTATTTAATCAAAAAAATTAAAATCATCTTTAACTTTTATTTTTTTACATTTTGAATATAGATTTTTAGTTAAGAATTAGTAACGTATTTGTATTCAATAATCAGTAATTTCTTTTACAATTCATCTACTTAAATTCAATCTAAAAATGTGTTAAGTATAAAAAATATATTTTTATTAACAAAAAAACTGAATGATAAAACCCTTGCTGTGAAAAGAAAAGAAAAGAAAAGCATATATATATATATATATATATATGTTATATTTTTTAAAATTTCGATAAATTATCAATTTTTGTATTTTATCAAGAACTTTGAGAAGTGTCAAGAGGGTGAGAATTAGGAATGGGATGGGTTAATGGGAATGTGCCGCGTGGCACTCGAGTGGGTGGACGCAACTAGGGTTTTTAACGCCAGAGCTTCATTGCACAGGAGAAGCCGCTGACGGACGCGCGGCTTCTCGCGGCGCCGCAGGTAGACGCAACCAAGGCCTCTTGCGGCGATTCAAGGTTATCCAGTCCCTTCTGCTTCGATCACAACTTCTTCACGACAAGGCGGCGATGTTCTCTGCTTCCTTGCGGTGAGTTGTGTCCAGCCTTTCTTCTTCGTTTTTGCGACGAATGCCTGGTTGCTTAGCTACAATTTTTCTGTTGCGTGAACGCTCATCGAGCCAGGAGAGTAGCAGGTAGGAATGCCGTGGGCTTGGTGTGCATGTTGACGTTTAAGTGAAACCGAGAGAAGCGGGTTCATGTTCTTCGGAGACCATTTCTGTCTTGTAGAGAAGCGAGTTGCTCTGCAGCTCGTGTTGTGCGGCCTTGTGCTGTTTACTTGGATTCATGTTATGTCTCGGTTTGTTGAGTTTCGCGGTAGGAGGTTGATTTTTGAAACGAGGACAATGCCGTGCACGGTGTTTCCTCCTGATTCCAAAATGTGTTGCGCTACGCGTTGGTAAACGAATGTGTGCACTGACTGAGCTCATGCAAGTTGAAGTGGCACTATGTTTAGAATATCTCGAGGAGTTGTTTGATCATGAGGATTGTAGGCTCACTCCTGCACCATTGGGATTTACATGACGTTGTGCGGAGGAATGCAACGTGAATTTTTACACAGTGTGTTGCAGTAGGAAGCTGGTTTGTCGTTGTTCTGCTTAGTGGCGCTTGGTGTGTAATATATTCGAGAAGAGTACAACTCTGGGCATGGAAGATGGGAAACTTGAACAATTCATAGTTGTAAAGCAACCAATGTCTTAAACTTGTAATGAAAAGTTTAAGAATCATTTTGAGGCAATCAAGTAGATGTTTTCTCAACAGTATTTCGAATACTTTCTCTGCTAATATACACTTAGAGCTAGAAGTTTCGAGACGCATTCACAGAGCATGGGATTATCTTTCTTTCTCAGAGACAGGACGTAGTGGTTATGCTGGTGATGCCTTCTGAATTGTTGCAGGACTGGTGTGATTCCACTGCCTTCTGCTTCAATAAATTGATTACAGATTAATTCATATAATTTGAATCATATAAGACCTTTTCTTAATAGCATTTCGTCAGTATGCTATGCTAAGCTGTGCTTTTTATTTATTTATTTATTTATTTTTATTTTTGCTCTCTTCTCTTTCATGCTTGCTTGCTTGTTTGGCATACTGTGCAAGAGGAAATATCAGATAGCCATTACGGACATATTTGAACGGAGGGTTTCACCAGTTGTAGAAGAACGACACCTGCACAAGTAGAATTCAGAATGATGCATGTGAAAGCTAGAATTCGCGGTGCAGAATAGAATTTTTGTCCGTGCACTTTCTCACATTGTCGCGTATAATTTGAGAAGGAACTATGCTGACACGCTGCGGTACGTAAGGGAAGAGGTAGGAGTTCCCATCAACTGTCTAGAAGTCAATAACAATTATTTGATACTGATTAGTGGCATGACTTTTTCTTGCTTAGGGAAGAAATAAACGAAGTCGCTTGTGTCTGGAAGCACGGCCTCCGATAAGTCTGCTCCTAAGGACACAGCTTCGGCACTCTCTGGTATTTCTCTTTGATTTAAATCTATGTTGGAATTGTGCAATCTATTGTGGGTCATTGATGACTAATGCATCAATCGGATTTTATTTTCTTAACTGAGATCTTTTTATTCTTCTTCAAGTTTCTCAAGCAAAGGCCTCTGGATGTCATGTAGAGCGGGAATTTTTAGTCCCCTTTCAGCATCTTAGGCGTTGACGTACCTGTGAGAACAGTTGGTGAGATCTGTTCACTTTTACGGACAGGTTTGCATATCCTGTCATGAAAGAGAGAATTCGGGGCTAGATTTCTTCGTAAATGTGACAGAATTTTTGGTTTCTACGCTTGTTTCGAGTGTTAGTATCAATCACTTGTATAAACCTTTGGTAAGATTGTAGTCTTTGTCTTTTTCCACTAGCTGTTTAGTTCTTGCCTGGTCTATCTTGTGTCGCGCTGAAGTTTCAGATTGTCATGAGAGTTGTTCCCGTTGTTGTGACTTGACAATAGTGCAATTGTGTGATTTCACAGCTCGTGAGAGTGTATCAAAAGCTGTTGAGTGCTGCACGTGATGGAAATGTACAAGCATTCAAAGGTATGTGTTAACATGAATGAAGTTATATCTTTCATCTTGATTCTTTTGGCTAATTTTCCTCTGCAAATTCTGCTCAATTTTTCTAACAGAAGCGTTGCTTGCAATTTGGATTGCTTTGCAACGTAGTTAAGCTGATCGCTTGTGAAACTGATTACTAGATTTACATTTAGCCTTAAATATAATTATGGAATCTATTACTTCACAGATGTGG